TGCGGTCGACTGCGGCGGTCGACCGGACCAGACATTTCCAGTTTCCATATGTTTGGCCATTCGTGCATGTTTCAACTCTTTTCTCTCTCATGTATGAACTCGTTCATATTCAAAACACATGGTATTATACTCATATACCATTAAATGATATTTATCATACTAAATATCCACATATCGTAATTTATCACATATTAATTATATTATTTATAAATTATCAGGGTTTTACATTCACCCCCCTTAAGAGGATTTCGTCCTCGAAATTCCGCAGTCACATCACAAAGCTCAAAAGCTAGGAAAAACATATTAAGAAGGTGTATTCTATACATAGAAGACCTTATGTACTCATCTCATAGCATTAGCACAATGATATTTAAAGCTAACCAATTAGAATGCAAACATTCTCACCTAAGTCCCTAACTAAGCAAAAATGGTACGTCGAGCAAAATAATCCAAACAAGGAAACCCTCAAGTATATACCATATGTTTCAAATGATTAAGGATCAGGTGATAATATCCCCATTCTAGTGTTAGAGGTAAATATAAATGTGACTAAACAACATAGATAATGACTACTATTAAAGCATATACATCATACCTGTCCAAACAGGTGCGGATAGTCGCGACGAACATCCTCTTCGCGCTCCCAAGAAATCTCTTCGGCTCCTTGCCGGTTCCACTGCACCTTCACTAATGGAATGACTTTATTTCTAAGCTTTTTATTCTCTCTAGCAAGTATGCACACCGGAATCTCTACAGTAGTCAAGTCATCCTGAATCTCAATCTCTGGTGAGTCAATCAGTCTATACTGTTCATCATCTCGCAGATGCTTCTTAAGAATCGAAATATGAAAGACATCATGTACACTCGACATCGATGCTGGCAGGTCTAACCTGTAAGAAACAGTTCCAATGCGCTTGATGATCCTAAAAGGACCAACATATCTTGGGGCAAGCTTCACCGTCTACCGAAACGTTGAACGTTCTTCATCAGTGATACTTTCAACATAACTAAGACTCCGACCTGGAACTCCAAAGGTCATCTCCGCTGATCTGCATAGCTCTTCTATCGACTCTGCGCTATAAGAATGCGCTCTCGAATCAATGCCACATTCTCTGTGGTCTGTCTAACTAACTCCGGACCAATCAATAGACTATCCTCTGGCTCTGCCCAACATATGGGTGATCTGCTGGAAAAAAAAATTGGGCATCAGTCCTTATAAAACTTTAGAAAGGAAGATCACCCTCCGGAAGATCCCAATTATCGTCATCCTCCTCCTTAGACTTTTTAGCAGCATCAGTATCAGCGGATGAAGTATTGGATCTCGGCGCATACCACCTACAAAAGAATTGAATGGTTACGGTTACTTATCGTGCCATTGCGTCTACAATTTCTAGCATTAGAACTGTAAAATTCATGATGCAAGTTTCCATTGACTTTAAGCAAACAGTTAGGCAGAGGTGTTGGCTCCAAAAGCAAATGCTCTTTCACCTCTGCATTGGTATCTGATTGATGATAACTAATCAAACGTCTGAGAAAAAAAACAGTAAATGACACAGCAGTTTTGTCATTATTACAAGATTAAAGATCATGGAAAACAAAATTGATGATATAAATTTCATATGCACTCAACAATTCGCTTGGTTTTAGCATGGGAGAGTCAATAAGCAGCACAAATGAATTTTAAACTCTATATGAGCTTCCTAAGGCTACAAGTGAAATTCCACAGCTACATTCATCTTTACATTAGAAGTAAACAAAACTACAAATTGAAAGCTTTTACTTTTCCCCGCTCCTTTTATTCAATCAGGATCCAAATTATTGTTCTTTTAGGTTTATAATTCTACTCCTGCTTCCCAATTTCTTCGTCATTACGCCCCCAAAATAATCCCTAACTCTTATTTTTCTCAAAATCAAAGGAAATTTTTCAAAAAATTAGTTTTTCACCTCCCCTGATTTCGGCGACCTGCTACCCTCTTCTTCCTCTTCTTCTCCTCCTGAGTGTTCTCGAAGAACCGGCGGCAGCGGCGGCACTCCTGGATGACTCCAGCCTTGGCGACCTCTCGCCGGAACCTCCGAAGGAGGACCTCCTCAGGCTCGTCCTCGTCGACGATAATCTGCACGTTGTAACCCGACTTGAAATCAAACTAGGGTTTGGGGGGGTTGGTGGTTGTTAGAGTTCTTAGGAAAACTGAGAAAAACGTGAAAAACTCATGTATATATATCAGGGGAAAACGAATATGGGTTTAAAAATCCAAAACCAACTCAAAACAGGAGAAACTCTCTACAGGTTTCGCGATCGAACGTGGCGGTCGACCGGGCTACGGTCGACCACGGCGGTCCCCCCCCCCTTAAGAGGATTTCGTCATCGAAATTCTGCAGTCACATCACAAAGCTCAAAAGCTACGAAAAACATATTAAGAAGATGTATTCTATACATAGAAGACCTTCTGTACTCATCTCATAGCATTAGCGCAATGATATTTAAAGCTAACCAATTAGAATGCAAACATTCTCACCTAAGTCCCTAACTAAGCGAAAATGGTACGTCGAGCGAAATAATCCAAATAAGGAAACCCTCATGTATATACCGTATGTTTCAAATGATTAAGGATCACGTGATAATATCCTCATTCTAGTGTTAGAGGTAAATATAAATGTGACTAAACAACATAGATAATGACTACTATCAAAGCATATACATCATACCTGTCCAAACAGGTACGGATAGTCGCGACGAACATCCTCTTCGCGCTCCCAAGAAATCTCTTCGGCTCCTTGCCGGTTCCACTGCACCTTCACTAATGAAATGACTTTATTTCTAAGCTTTTTATTCTCTCTAGCAAGTATGCATACCGGAATCTCTATAGTAGTCAAGTCATCCTGAATCTTAATCTCTGGTGAGTCAATCACTCTCTACTGTTCATCATCTCGCAGATGCTTCTTAAGCATCAAAATATGAAAGACATCATGTATACTCGACATCGATGCTAGCAGGTCTAACCTGTAAGAAACAGTTCCAATGCGCTCGATGATCCTGAAAGGACCAAGATATATCGGGGCAAGCTTCACCGTCTACCGAAACGCTGAAAGTCCTTCATCGGTGATACTTTCAACATAACTAAGTCTCCGACCTGGAACTCCAAAGGTCGTCTCCGCTGATCTGCATAGCTCTTCTGTCGACTCTGCGCTATAAGAATGCGCTCTCGAATAAATGCCACATTCTCTATGGTCTGTATAACTAACTCCGAGCCAATCAATAGACTATCCTCTGGCTCTGTCCAACATATGGGTGATCTGCTGGAAAAAAAAATTTGGCATCAGTCCTTATAAAACTTTAGAAAGGAAGATCACCCTCCGGAAGATCCTAATTATCGTCATCCTCCTCCATAGACTTTTTAGCAGCATCAGTATCAGCGGATGAAGTATTGGATCTCGGCGCATACCGCCTACAAAAGAATTGAATGGTTACAGTTACTTATCGTGCCATTGCGTCTACAATTTCTAGCATTAGAACTGTAAAATTCATGATGCAAGTTTCCAGTTACTTATCGTGCCATTGCGTCTACAATTTCTAGCATTAGAACTGTAAAATTCATGATGCAAGTTTCCATTGACTTTAAGCAAACAGTTAGGCAGAGGTGTTGGCTCCAAAAGCAAATGCTCTATCACCTCTGCATTGGTATCTGATTGATGATAACTAATCAAACGTCTGAGAAAAAAAATAGCAAATGACACAGCAGTTTTGTCATTATTACAAGATTAAAGATCATGGAAAACCAAATTGATGATATAAATTTCATATGCACTCCAACAATTCGCTTGGTTTCAGCATGGGCAGGTCAATAAGCAGCACCAATGAATTTTAAACTCTATATGAGCTTCCTAAGGCTACAAGTGAAATTCCACAGCTACATTCATCTTTACATTAGAAGTAAACTAAGTTACAAATTGAAAGCTTTTACTTTTCCCCGCTCCTTTTATTCAATCAGGATCCAAATTATTGTTCTTTTAGGTTTATAATTCTACTCCTGCTTCCCAATTTCTTCGTCATTACGCCCCCAAAATAATCCCTAACTCCTATTTTTCTCAAAATCAAAGGAAATTTTTTGAAAAATTATTTTTTCACCTCCCCCGATTTCGGCGACCTGCTACCCTCTTCTTCCGCTTCTTCTCCTCCTGAGTGTTCTCGAAGAACCGGCGGCAGCTTTAGGTTTATAATTCTACTCCTGCTTCCCAATTTCTTCGTCATTACGCCCCCAAAATAATCCCTAACTCCTATTTTTCTCAAAATCAAAGGAAATTTTTTGAAAAATTATTTTTTCACCTCCCCCGATTTCGGCGACCTGCTACCCTCTTCTTCCTCTTCTTCTCCTCCTGAGTGTTCTCGAAGAACCGGCGGCGGCGGCGGCACTCCTGGATGACTCCAGCCTTGGCGACCTCTCGCCGGAACCTCCGAAGGAGGACCTCCTCAGGCTCGTCCTCGTCGACGATAATCTGCACGTTGTAACCCGACTTGAAATCAAACTAGGGTTTGGGGGGGTTTGGTGGTTGTTAGAGTTCTTAGGAAAACTGAGAAAAACATGAAAAACTCATATATATATCAGGGGAAAACGAATATGGGTTTAGAAATCCAAAACCAACTCAAAACAGGAGAAACTCTCTACAGGTTTCGCGATCGAACGTGGCGGTCGACCGGGCTACGGTCGACCGTGGCGGTCGACCGGACCGGACATTTCCAGTTTCCATATGTTTGGCCATTCGTGCTTGTTTTAACACTTTTCTCTCTCATGTATGAACTCGTTCATACTCAAAACACATGGTATTATACTCATATACCATTAAATGATATTTATCATACTAAATATCCACATATCATAATTTATCACACATTAATTATATTATTTATAAAGTATTGGGATTTTACATTCACCCCCCCTTAAGAGGATTTCGTCATCGAAATTCCGCAGTCACATCACAAAGCTCAAAAGCTAGGAAAAACATATTAAGAAGGTGTATTCTATACATAGAAGACCTTCTGTACTCATCTCAAAGCATTAGCAGAATGATATTTAAAGCTAACCAATTAGAATCCAAACATTCTCACCTAAGTCCCTAACTAAGCGAAAATGGTACGTCGAGCGAAATAATCCAAATAAGGAAACCCTCATGTATATACTGTATGTTTCAAATGATTAAGGATCAGGTGATAATATCCCCATTCTAGTGTTAGAGGTAAATATAAATGTGACTAAACAACATAGATAATGACTACTATCAAAGCATATACATCATACCTGTCCAAACAGGTGCGGATAGTCGCGAATAACATCCTCCTCGCGCTCCCAAGAAATCTCTTCGGCTCCTTGCCGGTTCCACTGCACCTTCACTAATGGAATGACTTTATTTCTAAGTTTTTTATTCTCTCTAGCAAGTATGCATACCGGAATCTCTACAGTAGTCAAGTCATCCTGAATCTCAATCTCTGGTGAGTCAATCACTCTCTACTGTTCATCATCTCGCAGATGCTTCTTAAGCATCGAAATATAAAAGATATCATGTACACTCGACATCGATGCTGGCAGGTCTAACCTGTAAGAAACAGTTCCAATGCGCTTGATGATCCTGAAAGGATCAACATATCTCGGGGCAACCTTCCCCGTCTATCGAAACGCTGAACGTTCTTCATCGGTGATACTTTCAACATAACTAAGTCTCCGACATGGAACTCCAAAGGTCGTCTCCGCTGATCTGCATAGCTCTTCTGTCGACTCTGCGCTGCAAGAATGCGCTCTCAAATCAATGCCACCTTCTTTGTGGTCTGTCTAACTAACTCCGGACCAATCAATAGACTATCCTCTGGCTTTGCCCAACATATGGGTGATCTGCTGGAAAAAAAATGGGCATCAGTCCTTATAAAACTTTAGAAAGGAAGATCACCCTCCAGAAGATCCCAATTATCGTCATCCTCCTCCTTGGACTTTTTAGCAGCATCAGTATCAGCAGATGAAGTATTGGATCTCGGCGCATACTGCCTACAAAAGAATTGAATGGTTACGGTTACTTATCGTGCCATTGCGTCTACAATTTCTAGCATCAGAACTGTAAAATTCATGATGCAAGTTTCCATTGACTTTAAGCAAACAGTTAGGCAGAGGTTTTGGCTCCAAAAGCAAATGCTCTTTCACCTCTGCATTGGTATCTGATTGATGATAACTAATCAAAAGTCTGAGAAAAAACAGCAAATGACACAGCAGTTTTGCCATTATTACAAGATTAAAGATCATGGAAAACCAAATTGATGATATAACTTTCATATGCACTCCAACAATTCGCTTGGTTTCAGCATGTGCGGGTCAATAAGCAGCACAAATGAATTTTAAACTCTATACGAGCTTCCTAAGGCTACAAGTGAAATTCCACAGCTACATTCATCTTTACATTAGAAGTAAACTAAGCTACAAATTGAAAGCTTTTACTTTTCCCCGCTCCTTTTATTCAATCAGGATCCAAATTATTGTTCTTTTAGGTTTATAATTCTACTCCTGCTTCCCAATTTCTTCGTCATTACGCCCCCAAAATAATCCCTAACTCCTATTTTTCTCAAAATCAAAGGAAATTTTTTGAAAAATTATTTTTTCACCTCCCCCGATTTCGGCGACCTGCTACCCTCTTCTTCCGCTTCTTCTCCTCCTGAGTGTTCTCAAAGAACCGGCGGTAGCGGTGGCACTCCTGGATG